AAATAAATATTAGTCTGTATATACATTTCTATCTCAGCCGAAATCAGTAAAAAAACATACTGAATAACCAAACAGTTGAATGTGATTCAATTATATCCCTTTCCACAGAATTTGTAATCCTGAACGTTGGGAAGACCCAGAAAATTCCACCGAAAATACCCAAAGGGGCTCTGGAAACACTAGGAAACATCTTATTCAGTCAGTATTGAGTAGAAGTTTCTCAGAAATATCCAGAAAGTGAAGTCACATTGCTGATTGGATGATTGCCTATTCTGTTATGGTTGGTAGAGCTTCAGAGGCCCAAGGCCATCTGAAATACTATAAATACCCTCGATTTTCTGCATATAAACAAACCTTGAAGTAAAGCGTTCTTTCCGTGTAACACTTCGTTTCTCTCATGTTCAAGCTAGCCTGGGCTTATTAGATGTTATAAAATCTATACAAACGTTAAGTCAGAAGATTTGTCAATGGAGACGGAGAAATCTACAATGAACTTTTCTTTTAAACAACTGGGAGCCTATATGGAGTGTCAAGAGAAAGAATCATGGGAGCTCTTGTGCAGAAAATGTGCATGTCCCAGCAAAACCCAGCTTCTGGTGCACTGCAAGTAACACATATATATTCCGTCATTAATGTCATCCATGAGTTTAACTTTGACAATGTAACAGGTGTTACTTTCGACTCATGATTCAAGAAATATGAAGATCTGTTCCATATTGATCTCTGCAGACTGGATGATGCTTCAAAAGTCAAAATACGTTTAAGAAGACTTGTAACGACAGAATACGAACGCTCTGGTAACTTTGTTCTTCCGAAGAAATCGTGAGACTTGAGTTTTGATTAAACGATTAAAACCCTGTCCCAAATCTTTGGAAAACAGTCATTTCTGTTTAACATCCGTTACCAATGTATGGATATAACTAAAGAACCAGGACATGATGGAGTGTGACATTCAGGAGTTGTCAACCGAGAATGAGATGTTCAGGTTTTTCTCCATGACAGAAGATCATTTCGAATGCCTTGTATTTGTCTGTAGCATGCATTCACCCGAGATGTTGATATCCAAACAAGAATCCTAAGCAAACTTGGGTATTGTTCTAGCATTACCCTACAGGAAGTAACTACCGAATGTCAAAGGGTAGTGAACTGAAACCATGATACCTCGATGGTAGAGAATGGTAACCGGTTCTTTTACGTCAATGCAATCGAGAGACGTTTTACAAGGTTCTAGCACATAGAATTATCGTAATGACAGCGACAGACCATCATCCCCATGCTGGTTATGTGTCTTGAGTCATAGATTACTTTATTCGTGGTTTTAAAAAAAATAATTAAACAAACGATCAAATGACAAATAAGTTTCCTTTTTATTGTCTCAGTTTTAAGTAAGGTGTTAGGAAAAATTTATAACCGCTAGTGGAATAGTGTTAGGACGAAGGTAAAAGATTTCTACTGGAACTGAAAATGAAGTTAATAGCTGCGTCGTTTAATTCGTACAGGATCTCTCAAAAATGCTATACATGATTTCTCACATTTTACCTTGATCAAGAAGATTACATTTCCCGATAATGACAATATTTTAATACGGAAAAACATCTCAGTTTCCCTACATATTTAGATGCGAATAAAGTTTAGTTTCACATAAAGGTAACTACCGTAGTACAGACTTAAAGTTTTCGAACAGCCTGACTGAAGTAGTAGCTAGCAGTGGAATTCAAGATGCGCGTTCCGTTCTATTTGGGACTCGTCAGCTGGATGTACCTGCATCTCAGAGTTAATGTTCACTCTGGGACCCAGTACCATTCGCTTCAAACATCAACTCTGAGATGCAGGTACATCCAAATGAAGAGTCCCAAATAAGACGAAACGCGCGCCCTGAATTTCACCGCTAGCCACTATCCATCTTTGTTTATTAAGCTGTGAATTAAGGTTATATCGAGGCAATACGCACAGTATGCATGTATGCCAATAACAGACTGACCAATTGCATTCCTAAATAACATTGGGAAGGTTCAAGTAAAACAATACGAAGTGAATTTAGACTGATAGAAGTGCTTTTAAAGTGTTTATAATAAAATTGTATAAAAAGGGGATATAGTTTACTTCTTTCAAAACCCATTGTACGATATAATTTACATATAAAACAGATTTTCTAATCAATTTCCTAGACTAAATTCACTTGGTATTGTTTACTTGAATTTTCATATTGAGTTCGAGTCCCAGAGTGAACATAAGATCTGCGGTGCAGGTACATCCAGCTGACGAGTCCCGAATAAGACGGAACGCACGTCCTGGATTCCACTGCTAGCCACTACCCATCTTTGCTTATAATTCCTTAGACTGTTGCACACAAACTTGCTATGGATTTTGATGAAAAAGGTCCTAGAAGAGCCGAAGAGTACTATTCAATCAGAATGCAATGAAGCTTTCTGGAATATCAACGTGGAAAGCTACTATTGGTTAGTAGCATAACATGCCTCTTCTCGGATTGGTTGAATTATAATGTTGATTTAACAAACGCTAATATCTATAAACACCCATGATTTTCCGTACATTTTGATTCTTGTCAAATAAGCACTTTCCCCAGTTTATTGCTGTTTTCTTATTTGTGACTTGGGGGTCTTTAGCGTTCGAGTGCTCAAGTTATATGCGGTATATTAAGAATCTAAGGTTCTAGATAATAACAATTAGTAATAGCAAAATGAGAAACCTTCATTTTTTTGCTGATCTCCAAATGACAATGAATGTTCTTTATAACCACTTAATTTTTACAAAGACTCAAAAACTGGATTTTCTCTAAATCGAATAGGTGATATTAATTAGAAGACTATGAACCCTATGGTTTGAATTGTTTTTTTCTGGCTAACGTTTTTTAGCGAGTCAGTTTTCTATGGGATGGGGTCGCTAACCCCATGCCCAATCCTCTTCCTTTACCCAGGTTTGGGACTGTCAGTAGCTCTAGGAGTGCTACAAGCATCGTGAGGCAAGCCCTAAAATAGAATCCTGATGTAATGCGGTAAAGAGGAAGGCCAAAGAACACATTACATCGTGAAATAGCCGACATGAAATGGATGAATAACGACTTGAAAGGATTGTACAGGACACGGTTGGATGGAGAATGCTGGTGAGTGGCCTTTGCTCCTCCACGAAGAGTAACAAGCGTAAGTAATTAAGTAATCTCTACACAATATGCTATGAATCATGTAATCGCATTGTTGAATAGTGATATGGTTTAACAAATGATGAATACTTATTCGTATTTTTAAGGCTGTCTTTTTTTTCATTTCAGTCTCCCCAAAAGTAGCAATTTCTAATGTGTCTGAAATAAAAAAATATATATTAAAGGATAAAACAAGTAGTTGCTAGGCGATTTTTTATCAGTAAAAAAACATTTCTATACATAAGATTTTTAGTGGACCGGGGTCTGACTTCAATTAGATCGTATGAATGTTCGTTATTGAATGATTGCTGTCGAAATATATATCGCCAATCCTCGTATATAATCATCGACTTAAATCACGTTAGTGAATAACGGAATATGAAAATGAATTTTTGAATACGTATATTTCATACCATCGTTGATTCAGACAAAATATTGGAGAAGCGAAGAGAAATGACCCGCGGTGGAGAAGACATGTGACTTAAAAAGAGACGTAAAATATTAAAGACTAGTGTTTCAAGCAGACAATATGAAAACAGCATGTTTGACTCCCTTAAAAATATAATAAATCTCTGAAGAATCGAGATATTACAGAGAGTTAAAAATTATGTAACTAGATAGACTGAATACGAATAGAATTCAATCTTTAATAGAAATCGATGTTACGGTTAGGATTTCGAAGAAGAAGAAGAAGAAGAAGAAAAATTGGTCTGAACATCTAATTCCATATGATTATGGGGAAGAAAACTGTAATTTTGATAGAGTTTTGTTCTTAGAGCTCCATCAAAATCATCCATTTGAGCTACAAATCTTCTCCACCATCTCGAAAACTGTAATATCACTTGAAATAGTTAATTACATATGAAGGAGATAATAATATAATCACAAAAGTTAAATGGTTAATGGTTAATACGACGGAGTACAGTGCAAAGTCGTGCATGGAGGACAGTTGACAGATGCATTCCAAGTAAGGACAGAAGTCAGACAAGGCTGTCTACTCTCCCCTTTCCTCTTTCTTCTGGTGGTTGACTAGATTATGAAGACCTCGACATCTGAGGGAAAGCACACAATACGACGGACAGACCAGAACCAATTAGACGATTAGGATTTCAGAGATGACCTAGCCTTCCGAACCCATACACATGAACAAATGCAGATGAAGACAACTAGTGTAGCAGCAGCCTCTGCATCAGTAGACCTCAACATACACAAAGGAAAAAGCAACATCCTTAAATACAATGCGGAGAACACTGACCCAATCACACTTGATGGCGAAACTCCGTAAGATTTGGAATCTTTCACGTATCTGGGAAGTATTACCGATGAACAAGGAGGATCGGATGCAGACGTAAAGGCGAGGATTGGCAAAGCAAGGGCTGCATTCCTACAATTGAAGAACATATGGAACTCAAAACAACTTTCAACCAATATCAAAGTCAGTATCTTCAATATGAACGTCGAGACAGTCCTACTGTATGAAACTGAAACTCGGAGAACTACTACAACCATCATCAAAAAGGTACAAGAATTTATGAACAATTATCTACGCAAGATACTCAACATCCATTGGCCGAATATCATCAGCAACACCATTCTGTGGCAGAGAACAAACCAGCTTCCAGCTGAAGAAGAAATTAGGAAAAGACGTTGGAAATGGATAGGACATACATTATGGAAATCACCAAACTGTATAACAAGGCAAGTGCTCACTTAGAATCCTGAAAGGAAGTGGAAAAGAGGCAGGTCAAAGAACACATTACGTTGGGAAATAGAAACAGATATGAAAAAGAAGAATAACAACTGGAAAGAGCGAGAAAGGATTGCTTAGTAAAGGGTTAGATGGAGAATGCTAGTGAGCGGCCTATGCTCCTTCACGAGGAGTAACAGGCGTAAGTAAGTAATTAACAGTTAATTTTTTCGATATAAAACAGTAGAACCAGATAATAACGGCCATAAAAAAATGGTTATATAACAAATTAATGTAATAATAACAAATGTAATAAATAATAATCTATCTATTATTTTAGCTATCACCTTCCATTCATATTTAATTAATTCATTTCTGACATCTTCTTGACTTTTCAAATTCAATTGATATTCACTTTGGGAATGGTTATTATTACTATGAACATTACAAGTAGTAAGATTTAGTATTGATGATGATGATGATGATAGATCATTTTTCAATAAACAATCCCGTTCCATAGAAGAATAAACTTTATACGCCTTATGAATTTGAGAATTTATATTGGTTCTATTCAATGTTATACTTTGAATAGTTGATAATGGTTTTACTTTTAATGGTATTGATAAATCTATTAAAGTTCCATGGTGATTAGATTCATTTACAATGATATTATGATAATAGATAGGACTGAAAGAAGTTCCATTCAATGAACATTCATCTTTTAAATATGATTTCTTTAAATAATTATGATAGATAGATCTGATTTGTTTGTTGAAACTTTTATTTATAACAAGTAAATCATTTAATTTTGTAAGTAGTTTGATTTGAGAATCAATTTCTAACAATTTTTTTTCTTGAACCGAATTGAAGGTTGAAAAGTTTTCTATCTAAAATAAAAAGAGTAAATCAAATGAAACTAAAACTTATGTATAAATTTTTGAGTGATGCTAAAATGACCTTGAGAGTGTTCACCTAGTAACTAGGATTAAATAAGGGTTATGATACTTGTGTATAAGGAATTAGGATGTTGATTTATAATTGGTGATTAAGGTTACATTTAAGGGTTTTCATCACGAACTGATATCAGTTATAATGTCAAAACTTTATTTAGCCAAATGGATAGGTGAATTTCGCGATAAAATCCGAGACTTGATTGGTTCGTTCATTTATTTCAACACATAAACATTGGTACAAATCTCATTCGATATGTGTGAGGGTTGTGATACTCCCCGGGTGCCCAAACCGAAGCAGGTGGTTTTATTAGGGGGCCACTCCCCGAGCCTTCGACCTGAAGGTCTGGCCCACAAGGCAGTGGAACATCGTAAGGAGATGCAGTCCCATGGAAGCCGGTGATCAACAATTGGTTCATACACATTTGTTCCCTCAAGATACTGCAGCCCGTGTGCACCATTGGTTTGGAATCCGGTTAAAGCGCCGGACATTCGCTTTTCGTCCTCTCATTTTCGTAAACAACAGTAATGCCAGGAGAAGGCAGTGAGTAGGACTTCCCTAGCAGAGACTATATACGCGTGGCCATATGAGCGCATTTCGAGGGGGAGAGCGGACTCTGCCCACTCTTGGCTGTACCAAGGCATTTGGGGCTCGTTCATAAATTAAAGTCTTGACAGAAAATGCTTTAAAGTATTTCATTACAACAATTTTAATGTTGTTTATAATAATAATTATTAAATTAATATCATAAGGGGTTTTGTGAAGATTGTAGTAACTTCAATAGTTGAGATCATGATTCAATCTCCACAAAACCCCTTCTGATACTAATCAACATATGCTCACTAGTGACTGGCTTCAAGATGTATATCTTGGAGTTCTAGTGAGAAGTAGTGATCAGTGGAGTTCAAACGGGTCTGTTGTGAGATATTAACTCACTGATGACAATGGTGAATGTGTCACTGAATTTCGTGGATTAGTTGAAGTTAGAGATTAATATCGTTGGATGCCGGCTCAGTGGTCTAATGGTTAAGCGCCCGCCGCGCGAAACCTATAGGTTCTGGGGTTCGAAACCCGCGAGGTGGGGTCTTGGATGCGCACTGCTGAGGAGTCCTACAGTAGGAATAAATAGCCGTCCAGTGGGTTCAGGTTTTCCATTGTGGTCTAGCTTCAACTGACTCATGATCTCAACTATTTATATTAATAAATTGTTTATTATTATTGTTATTGTAATATGAGTAGTACATGTGTATCAAGCAAAAATTCTAAATTCATATTAGTTTAATATATCTCATATTGTCAGAGGATTTATAATTTTAAATATATCTAACACAAATCAAACTTCGTGCAATGAAATGCTCTAGCTGAAATAATAAACTATGTTTATATGAATGGGGTCACAAGAATGACATCATTAGATTAACCAGATAACTTATTTACAGAATAGAAGTACAGTCTCATGCAGGACTCGTCATCTGAGTATACTTCTATTACTGTGTTGATGTTTACTACGGCAATCGAACCCAGTGTCTTAAATTTCAAATGTCAACAATTTATCCACTTAGCTACTGAGTTCCAATAGCCACTGTCTTGTGCAATGTCGTTGAAATATAATTCAATCATAACGGTTTCAATCTTACCGTTGTTCATGTTAACGACTGAATATTGATCAATCTCAGCCCAAATGTACAAGTCAGTGGCTACTGAAACTCAATAGCTAAGTGGATAAGGTGTTGGCGTTTGGAGCGAAAAACGCTGGGTTCGATCGCTGCAGTAAACATCAACACAAAAATATAAGTATAGTCAGCCAATGAATTTGAAATAAGAAGAAACGCGCGTCATGGGTTCAGCTACTATCCAAGATCCAACTTTGATTAAAAATTGATCACTTATGTTTGACTGGCTCTTAGTTCCCATTCACACCCATTGATCAAGCTACAATATGCTCAGTACAATAAATGACTAAACACCATAATAAATAACGATTGGTAATAAACCGCTGGACTTATTTTCTTGTCTATTAAAATATTTCATGGCTTGAATGATTTTTTTTTCTCGTTAGCATTTGTTAACAAGTTAGTATTCTACGGGATGGGGTCGATAAACCCACGCCCAACCCTTCTCCTTTATCCGGGTTTGGGACCGGAAGTAGCTCCAGGGGGTTTCCAGGCATTAAATTAACTGTTACATGACAATAATTTGATCACCCTTTAACTTTTCATCTATTAGCTATAAACAGATAATGTTTAGAAGGTTAGTTGTGCATCTAATTATCAAATGAAAACAACTATGACTTACTAACGATGAAACAGCTGCTGATTCATTCACATCACAACAATTTTCCTTGTAGAATAATTGAAATAAACTAAACTGTGTGATACGACGCAACCATTTTGGTGCACGTGATAGCTTCTCACCTTTGGCGTCTAAATTAATGACAATTACACACACAACAACTGTTCCAGTTGTTATTGACATTACTGAAGTCATATACACTCCTACACATGGGGAATAAAGGACGACAAATTGAATATGGTTAGAAATATATTTTTGCATAAAAATAATGGTAACGGTACAATTCCACGTTTTGAAGTATCAATGAAAGGATCTTTTAGCATGTAGGGCGTTGTCGAAAAAATAAGAAAAAGCAATAAGTATTTTATCGAAGCTTCCAATAACATAGCAACTCCAACTGAATCTACTCCAAAGCTCGTGTCTTAATTGACGCCACTGACGACATAATTGTCTTATGTAATTCGAAATTCCCATGACTCATTTGGAATATTTGATAACATTATGGACCAATATTTTTTTCAATTATGCATTGCTGTACACTGACTGAACAGGAACATCTTTACGGATTTCTGTATATGCCAGTCAGTCAGTAACAACGTAGAACGTCGTACGTACGTACATCAGTTCGAGTTGCCACACCACATTAGCACGGAGATGCAGTGGTCGATTCAAATCCCGTAGTGCTAGATGTAGTAAAATTATTAGCTGTAATCAGAAACATTAGGGTTTGAAGATGCTATTCAAGGAGTATAACCCAGTGAAATAAATTTGGAAAGAGAAAAAAGAAAGGGACATGAAGAATTTAGAAGATTAGAATTTGGCAGAACACAAAGAGTGGATGCACCTGCGCCATTGCAAACGATTTTGAGCCATGTAATTCAGGGTCTCTAACCATCGGTTGCTATCACCTCGCGGTCTCCAACCAGGTAGTCTACACCTACCAACATGACTCAGTCCACTTGTCAGTGACTTCATGGACTTGCACCATGTTTTGGTCTGGCCACCCCTAGCTTTCTTCCGATCTGCTCCTATACAACAAAACATCGCACATCGAGGCAGTCGGTGGTTGGACATACGTAACACATGTCCCAGCCATCTCAACTGATGAAGTTTCACTACGTCATCAATTGATTTGCCATCTTTAATTAGTACCCGTTTCCTAACAACTGCATTACTTACTCGATGGTCCCAGGATATACGAGCAATGCTTCGAAGACACCTATGATCGAATACTAGTAACCTACGGATATCCTCTACTCTTACCGGCCATGTTTCACTGCCATAAAGTAGGACGGAACGAACTGCTGCGCAGTAAACACGTCCTTTGGTTGATAGACGGATATCTCGCCTACGCCATAAATGACGCAAGTCGGCAAAGCTAGTCGAGCCTTCTGTATCCGTGGTGAGATTTCGTCACACACCAGACCACAAGGGCTGATGAGACTTCCAAGATAAGTGAAGCGGTCGACACACTCAACTACTTCACTCCCTATCACTAGTTCGGGTGTCGATGTAACCCAATCCTGAAGCAACATTTTGTATTTCGAGGGAGAGAATCGCATCCCGAACATGCTTGCATTGTTGCTTAGAGTGGTCAGAAGACTCTGCATTTTGTCAGCGTCTTCACCAAATAAAACTATGTCATCTGCATATTCTAAGTCAACAAGTGAACCTCCTGGTAGAAGTTCAACCCCTGGAAATTTAGATGAGGAGAGTGTTATCTCTAAAAGTACGTCGACTACAAAGTTGAACAAGAATGGGGAGAGTGGACAGCCCTGATGAACACCACTTGACGTAATCAATTCTGATGACAGTTCGCCATAAGCTCTCACTCTACCAGTTGTGTTCGAGTAGAGAGCCTGTATAAGGTTAATGTACTTCTTTGGTACTCCTTTCAGTGACAAACACTGCCATAGAACCTCACGATCAATAGAGTCGAATGCTGCCTTAAGATCGAGAAATACTACCATTGTGGGGCGTCTGAATGTGTGTCTGTGTTCTAGAACCTGACGTAGTGTGAATATCTGATCTATACAACCACGTCCAGGTCGAAAACCAGCCTGGTTTTCTCTAGTCTGCTCTTCACGAGCTTTAGTTAGGCGTCGAAGTATTATTGAAGCTAATATTTTAGACACTATATTAGTCAAACTGATTCCTCTGTGATTGTCACAAGAGGACTTTTGTCCTTTCTTATAGACTGGCACAATCAGTGATTGAGACCAGTCAGATAGGATTACGTCCTTAAAAATCTCAGGAGTAAACCTATCAGGACCTACTGCTCTCCCTCTCTTCAAATTTCCTATGGCTTTTTCAACTTCATAAAGAGACGGAGGACCTACATTAACTTGACTGGAGATCGTGAAAAACCGAAGTGTGGCTGAAGGCCAGTTGAACTGATCCGTAAAGTGTTCTGCCCATCGATCCAATCTCCTGGATTGAGAATGTATAATATGTCCATCTTTCTCTCAGAGTGTTTCGCTAACAGTCGGTTTCCTAATACCGGTTTCCTTAACAAGTCTGAACAATTGTCTGCTATTATCTATTGCCGCTGCCTTTTCCATCTCTTGCTTTCGCTACCCACCACTGTTCACGATCATTGCGTAGACTTCTTGTCAGCTTGCGCTTAAGCTGACTTCGCTCTTCGTTATGTTCAGAGCCAGGTGGAATGAGTTTCCGAGCATCTATCAGTGCGATAGATGCTGTTAAGATTCAGTGTTTCTCTACAACCTTACGGGTTACCGTACTAGCAGATATCACTGCTGTTTCCACAGCTTTTCAGATATCATTCCACACTGCCTCCGGGTGGGCATCACATACATGGCTGTCTAACTGTTTTTCTAGTTGTTTCCCAGATATACTCTTAGCTTGACTATCATTAAGTAGGCCCCTAAGAGGTTTCCTTGCAGTGTCTTTCCTACGTCCAGTAAGACGCAAGCAAATACGCGCTCGCACTAGAGCATGATCTGAATCTAAGCATGTGCTCCAGAATGAGCGAGAGTCTTCTATCGAGCCCCTCCATCGGTGGCTGATAGCGATGTGATCTATTTGGGTCCAACGTTGGGACGAATTAGGTGGTCGCCATGTTAAAAGATGTTTTTCCTTATGCCGAAAGTTAGTATTTGCAAGGAACAGGCGGTTATCTGAGCATAGCTACAACAGACGGTCGCCATTATCTGTTCTTTGAGCCACACTACTATAAGATGCACCCAGGGGTCTCTCCCGTTCTCTTAGTTTACCTACTTGAGCATTAAAGTCACCGGCCACTATTACTACATCCGAGCGCTAAGCTTTTCGGAGAATGTCGGAAAACTTTGTGTAAAACTCATCTTTTACATCATCTGAGCTGCAGTCAGTGGGAGAGTAGACAGAGACGACGAAGAGGCAAAGACGAGTGTCCCTATCTTTTCGGATCCTTACTGTTCCGTTCAGTCGGACAGCGCACAAACGAATGTCTACTGGGATCCAGTCTAAGAGAGCTAGTTCTGCCCTAGGACTCAATGCTATACCTACGCCAGCGAGGCCATGGGAAGCAGAATTGGGGCTTCCAGATACACGAAGTGTGAATCGAGTTGGTCCTTTATTTTGAAATGGTGAGGTCAAATGAATGACGCTGCTCGGATCCTGTATGCACGTTTCGGAGACGCAGCACACATCGATGGCGTGGGATTCTAAAGTCCTAGCTAAGGAAGCTTGCTGTCCTATTTGACACAGTGTCCGGACGTTAAAAGCTCCTACGTGTAGTTTAGAACGTGGTTTCAGGAGACCAGGAATAGCGTTCCACGTACCCGAATCGTTTGCCCTAGCGGTGCGAGGTGATAAAGAGACGTGAGGAGGGTTAGTCATGGAGATAAGAAAGGTGTTAGGAAGTGTAAGAAGGATTTGAATGTGACCAACTTGGTATCGTGTGCTGTTACGGGTATGCGGGCTGATATCACACCACGGCTGCCCACACCGTGGAAGGGTATTTCTTGAGGAACCTGAGAAGGAATTCGGATTAATGTCGGCCTTAACGGCCTTGGAGCGTGACCGCAGAGCCCAGGGGACAACTGCTTGAGGCCGGTCGCGTACGGCCTTTGTGTGGGAGGTTCTTGACGTGTTAGCTCCGTTCTTCAAAGGGCCTTATCGCCGGAGATGGAAATCCGTAAGATGAGGTGAGGTGTGACATTTTTAGGGTCGACCTTTTCCAACCCCACCCCTCGTGAGAAGGCAGCATCGCTGCTGTTGCTGGTTGTCCGAAGGAAACACCTTACTGCTGTCACAACCCTCTACAGTCAGCAGTACGACTTCGCCCTCAGACCTTGAGTTGCTGCTTTTAGTCTTACCGTTCTCCAATCGACCTGCCTGGCATGGTAGAACCTACAGGAACATATGTTCCAGCCAATATAGCTCGGTTGGGTCATCACGATAGGCAAGCTCGACCACCGCGTCAAGGTAACAGCTTCGGTCGGGCTGTTTATGTAGCCAACAATTAAACCACCTAGTCGAGAATACTGTAGAAAATAGAAGTGCGTTTACTACTGAATACAGTTATTATTAATATATAAGATACCCTTGTGGGTCAGTGTAATTTTACATTGGTTTTCAGGCGAACCAGACACCATCCAGACTTCCACGTGACAATCCAAACAGTACGGCTCAATCCCACTTACAGGAGGGCCAGATATCACCCAGACTGAAATTCTATAACCCGAGTAGTGCAGTCCAATCCCGCTTCATAGGAGAACCAGACACCATATAGACTTTAATGCCACAAGTTGAATAGTATAGCTCAATCCTGCGACGTAACCACACAGGTACCAAGCACCCTGGTGGACTATTCACACCATTCATATACATAATCAGCCTCCATCCTCGTGCTGATTATGCGGCGAGTGGCATTACAAGAAGTTTTGCCCTAAAAGCTACTGTTGTACTAAATGTTAGTGGAAAGAAAATAAAGAATCTTGCTGTAAAAAGATGTATCATCGTCCATCACGATTTCATTCCGGGAAACAAACCCCATGCATCAACCAGCCAAATAATGGTAGCTCATACATTATCAGGACATAGTCGACGGAAATATGTAACTATCGAGGTTGACGGTCACCATGCTCGCCTGCAGCTCGACACTGCTTCCGATATCACACTTATTAGCCGAAGAACCTTGAAGCATATTAGAAAACCCCAGGTGCTCACAACAACCCAATAATAATAATGTGAGTCGTTTGACTGTTAATCGGAGTAATACACTGAAAAAATCCATTGAAATTGTTAGAGAGAAAATAATGTTATCCTTGTGTATTTTTTAACTTTATCAACCTTTAGATACAATAATCACTGTTTTGATTCGAAATCTGTCTCTATCGACGGGAAACTTGTCATCGTCAACAATTTTTTCGAACTTAATTTGGATGATATATATAATCTCTCTTTCTTTTGATAGTGAAATTATATGTACGTATTTTTTACCAGTTTTCTTGTTGTCATAATACTTGTCAACTACAGTCGGCATAACGGACACATAATGGACATAATGTTGAACTCTAACACCATTGGATGGCGGCTCAGTGGTCCAGTAGGTTAAGCGTTCGCTCACCAGACTGGAGGGCTTGGGTTTGAATCCCGCGAGCAGGATCGTGGATGCACACTACTGAGGAATCTCAAAATAGGACGAAACAGTGCTCCCAGGTTTCCAACGGTAGTCTTACATCAATCGGTTCATGATCTCAATCAAAAAGGTAATAATCTCCACAACGTCTATACTGATTTCATGTAAGAAACGTGATACTACTCTTCATCTCAATGTCCATTAACAGCCCATTGTACCAAATGGCATTGGCGTAACCTTTTTTTCCTAGATTACGATATTATATTTCACGATAGCGATACTATCTTATTTATTTATTCAAACACATAAACATTGGTACAAGGAGGCACCAAATATTTATGCGCCACATAAATCATTCGATTTGTGTGAGTGCTGGGATACTGTCCGGGTGCCCAAACGAAAACAGGTAGTCTACTCGGGGGGCCACAACCCGAGCCTTTGACCTAAAATTCTAATTCACAAATCAGTGAAGCAACGTCAGGAGATGCAGGCCTAAGTTAGTTGGTGACCAACCATTAGTTCATACGCCACTTGTTCCTTCAGGATCCTGGAGCCCATGTGCACCATCGCTTTGAAATCAGGGTTTTCCAACTCCCGCAGGTCAACCCTCCATACCCACCAACCCAGTTTAAGCTCTGGACATTCGTTTTTCGTCCTTTCGATTTCGTAAACAATAGTAATACCACGAGAAGACAGTGAGCAGGACTTCCTCGTCAGTGGTTGTATGCACGTGGCCATGTGAGAGCATTTGGAAAGGGAGTACTGACTCTTCCCACTCTCGGCTGTACCAGGGGGCGTGAGATCATCTGATAGAATTTCTTTCAATACTAAATTCTGATATAACAGTGCCACTTTGAGCATTCAATCAAAACAGTTTGTGATAGATGGATTCCAACAAATTCGACTACAACAATGTACCATTTATAGCTAATTACCAAATTCATACAATTGACAAACAGTGTATTCTTTTACAATTGAGCATACATTTTGAAACAAAGTTAACCACTCATTTATTCTTAAATATTTCTAATCATAACCTTAAAGTTTCACCAACAGGCATCGATACCACAATAACTGCGGCAATAATGTCGGACAGCAGTAATAATCAGTAAGGTCATTTTTAAAACTATTAATTTTATTTGACGACGGGTGATAGTAAAATGCAATGAAAAGAATAGAAAAATCTTCATTAATATGTGTAGAGTGTGTGAATCTCCAAAAACCACTATGTTACTTACATTATTTATAAAATGTCACCCTTTATAACTACGCCTGGAGCACACCTGGTGCTACTGTCAGTCCAAAGCCCGGATAAAGGAGAAGGGTTTGGCATGGGGTTAGCTACCCCATCCCGTAGAAAATTAACTCACTGGAAAAACGCTAGCCAGAAAAAATAATTCAAACCATCTAAACACTGTCATCATTTTAGAAGAGTTATGACGCCTCAAGTTAAAAACTGATTTTCTTCGGAAGTCACGAGGCTGATGCTCCTTCTGAAAACCAGAGCAACCATTAATTTAGGTACATGGAATGCTCGTAGAATGTGAGAGATCGAGAGAGTCTTCCAAATTGTTGCAGAAATGAAGAGATAAAACCTGAATTTGCTTGGAATCGGTGAAACACACAACAACGATTATACTCTGGCCATAAAGAAGAAAATGCTCCTCATACACAAGGAGTTGTACTGATGCTATCCAAACAGGTACAAAAAGTACTTGATAAATTGTTACTCATGAATAAAACTGAAACAAATCAATATCACTCACCTATAAGTGGAATATTTTTGGCTGTTGGCGGTACACGTTCAGCTATCAACATCATAAACATAGAAAATGCTAAAAATACTGATAAACCTAAAGTAACTTTTTCACCGGAATCAATTGGGGTCCAAAATGTGATTAATGTAAGCAATGTTAATAATATACATGGTACGACAATATTCCAAATGTAGAAAAAACTTCTCCTTTGTAAGAATAGTTTTAATACTAAGTCTGTTTGTCTAGTGTCCAATTTATTATCATGAAACTGAATGTTTAATATACTTGTGGTTGGTTTCCAAACAGTCAATGTATCAGTAGATCGATGAGTATAGGATAATATAGCATGTTTCAGCATCCAATCTGTACTATCCCAATAAGATGATGTATCTAATGCATTTCTAGTCAGATAATCTTCCTCAAAATTATTATTATTATTATTATTATTACTATTATTATTATTATTATCAAGGTCATCTTGTCCTATTTCGTCATGATCTCTTCTTTCTGTAGTTAAATGTCGATTCGAGGTATTTGACAATAATGATACTAAAGAAGATGATAATTTTTTAGAGTATTTCCAATTTTTCATTGTAGTTGATTTATTATGTTGATCCGTTTGAAATTTATATTTAATCCAATCAGATGTATACATCCATGATCCAAATTGTATTTCACAATTTTGATGATCAAATGGAAATAATGTAATATCGACTTTACATGATGTTTTTAATTGAACTGGAATTGGCCATGATACTTTACCAGAACTATGAATTAAAACATAGACACCTTCTAGAAAACCAGAATTTGTATGATCAGCACTGTAATAAAAAGATAAATTATAGTTTGATAAGTACACTTGATTATTGATGGAGTTTTGCTCTCTGAGCTGGATGGTTTGGTGCTGATGATGTTGTTTAGGAGAACGATGAAAGCTCCACGACCGAACCATCAGCTCAGAGAACAAAACTCCATCAAATCCATCCACCTGAGCTACAAATCTTCCCCACACTTTGTTAATAGAGTCAACAGTTATTCAATTGGTCAATATTCTAAAGCTTACTACATGATTATATATATATAAAGCTGCTTAGAACCTTCTCATCAAATTTATATTGGAACTTAATAATTAGTCTAAGATTTCTCTTTAAACCAAAGAGGTCTCACTACTAGAGATTGAAGATGCCACCTGTATTTATAGTTTGATAACACTTCAACTAGTAACAGATTCTATAAATGAATCGTGCCCACTCAGTGAAATCAAAAGACAGAAGCGAGGAGGTTTGAAGTTATATTTGATAGGCTATCAATATATCGAGATGCGACTGATCTAAACTGGCTAGCGATTGCAGGGGAAGTTGAGCACGGCGTACTCACTCGTGATCTAATGCGGATAGATCACTGAGCGCCTTCAGCTGCATGAGTCCATTGAAACTATTGTGATTCACATACAATCAAACTCCAACGTTTTGAAATTTGCCGAAGCGATAGCAATCAAACGTCTAAAACCAGATCTATGTATACAAAAAGAGACAGTAATAAATCTTTCTTCACCTTGGTAACAATAACCTACCTTTTTATTCATTTATTTCTCTATTAATTTATTGCGTCATTACTCCAACTCTTTTAAATTACATCATACATAAATGATTGATTTCAATTCATATTTTCTTTATTACCATTAATCTATTTTCATGAGTTCTAATCACTATTTCAATGTTCTGGAACTTTCCCTCTCAAACTCTATTTATTTGAGACAAAAATTTTGTGACCTCATTAACTTTATCGGAATCTTCGCTACACCATGATACATTTATTCATCTTTAATCACCCTCTTATATATAAATATGTCAATATCTGTAATGATTTTGAATTTCAAGTAATTTAGGTTGTAAGCAGCTGATGAGAACCTAACGAAATAAAATGAATTCATATTATTCTGCACCATTCTTTGTTCTTGCTCTCTTTAATGAAACTATTGTGGTCAGCATCCAATATCGAAGACTTACGGAGCTATTGAGGACTTATTTACTGCTACAAGATCATGAGTGTTTTTATACCCTCTTTATTCATACAGCAAAAAGGTTGAGTTCTGTGAATAAATTCCAAAATGAAAAGACATTTCAATACATTCAATGAAGTTTTATTGTTATGAAATAGCAACTAAGCTCGGAATTTAGTTTCAATCAACTATATTGTCCAAGTATGACAAATAGTCAATATATATGTTTTCTTTTTCCTTAGTAATTTTCAATTAGGCGTTCATTTAAAGCAATAATAACTCATATGTTTACTTTCAGAAAATAAAAAGACATATCATCAACAAATAATTTTAATATTAAACCATAAATCAAAATATAATCAGAGAGGCGTTGTATGGATATTATAGTAACTTAATAGTTTAGTTCATGAGTCAATTGAAGCTAGACCACCATAGAAAACCTGAAAACACAGGACGTCCGTTTCGTCCTATTGTGGGATCCCTCAGTAGTGCGCATTCACGATCCCGCTACGCTAGATTAGAGCCTAGAACCTATCGGTCGCGCGCGAGCGCTTAACCACTAAGCCACTGAATTGGCATCCAACGGTGTTATTTTCTAACCTCAACTAATCCACGAAATTGAGCGACGCATCCACCATTGTCATCAGTAAATTACTATCTCACAAAAGACCCGGTTGAACTCAATTGGTCACAGCTTCTCCCTAGAACTCCAAAATATACCTCTTGGAGACCGTCACTAGTGAGCATATGATGATTATAATCAGAGGTTTTTGCGGATATTATAGTAATTTAATAGTTTAGCTCATGAGTCAATTGAAGTTAGACCACCATGGAAAACCTGGAAGCACTGGACGATCGTTTCGTCCTAGTATGGGACTCCTTAGAAGTGTTCATTACCATAAGTCATTTATCAGTTAAGTGACTAATAAATATTTCTTGTTTAGAATTGCAGAATATATGGACCAAGTCCAATTAATGAAATGTACAAACTGACATGTAAGTACATTTAATTGACAAACTCATAGTTTTGAAAAACAAAACAAAAAATATGGAATTCTACTAAGTCATAAGTCATTCGATTGGTGTGAAGGCTGGAATACTGTCCAGGTGTTCAAATCCAAATAGGTGGTTATCTTAAGGGGTCACATCCGGAGCCTTTGATCTAAAGGTCTAATCCACAAGTCAGTGGAGCAACGTCAGGAGGTGCAGTCCCATGAAATCAGGTGAACAAATTCTAGGAAAGTAGCGTTCAGTAGAGATGGGCATTAACTGAGAACTCACTGAAAGTTTTCCCTATGTGTATTATTTATTTACTATGAAAAATAATATATAGAAAATTTGCCTACTTATTAAATACATAAGTATCTGGAGTCCATACTTGCTCAGCTGGTACACGCAAAGTTCTTACATTTCCGAATTCCGGTTCATTCCATTTTAAATACTCATCTTCCCATATCTATAAACAAATAAGAATAATAATGTTACAGATTAGATCAGTTAACATTCCAAAACACTATACACACTATAAGAACTGTCACTATAACAGGCCACGTCCTAGAGATTCCATAAACAACATGATATACAACTGTCATCATGGTTTTGTCGACAACCTCTTCCCACCTATCCTGTAAATCCAGTAGTAAACGTGACACAACTATTTCCACATTAGCTGTACAGTTTACATCGGACACACATCCCACTTGTCTCAGTGTTATATGCGTTACGTAACTTGATTGTGAAGTCAGCCATATCATCTACTGAGCACCAAACAGATTTACGATTAAGCCAATTTACACTTAGTTTACGGGCAATCAGACGTTCCCTTCAATATATATCATACAGAATCTATCCCACTCTGTCATAATCCAAACAACAAGGCAAGGAGATGCAAGTTTCAATGGCTGTCCTGGCTTATCCTTTACAGTAGTATTGTGGTGTATGTTGCTTATGTCGACATACATTAGAAGTATGTAACACCAATCCGAAGTGAAAAACCTGGTAGCAGAAGGCTAAGAAGATCGAGTTGAAGAGAACAGAAGCAAAAATAGAAAGGAATCATGAACTGGAGGATAAATGATGGGAATTCGCGAATGAAGTATTCAGCGTATGGTCCTCATATTTTAACAAGATATTCTATAGATTTGGACTAAAGTACATTAATTGTCCCCACCTGTGTTCTCGTTTATTAAAGTAAAACAAATATAATTACTGTTGACTCTCGTTGGACAATTTGCTTACTATGAAGCTAGTAACCTGCCTAACAAAATGGTGTTACTGAACAGGCTGTCCATTAAAGTGCTTAATATCAATTTAAGGTAAGTCGATATTATTAATAATAAAGGACAACTTATTCTTGTCCTCATGAGCCCACTTTCCTTTCGAAATTCTGAGTGCTTCTCCCAAATCAACGTTACAACCAGTATTATCCTGTAAATAACATAACATCTTAGGATTCATCTCAACACTACATGCTAGAATATTCGTTACAAATGCCTATATGCGGTAGGCGTCCTCGTTACTGATTTTATGCAAAGTTATATGTGTAATATTTTTGATTAGAAGTTATTTTTAATTCTTTTAAACTGATGAGTTTGTGCTGTCTGGACAAGGGCATGATTAGAGTCTAGATAGGTACTCCAAAAGGAGCAGTAGTCCTGCACAATATCACACCAACGATAGCTGATCGCGATGTGATCAATCTGAGTCCAGGCTTCAGATGCAGAGGGAGGACGCCAAGTGGCACATCGGCGATGACTGTGCCAGTAGTTAGCTCTAGCCGGAAATAGGTTGTGATCTGCGCACAGTTGCAGTAGATGGTCACCGTTATCTGACCTGCGACCAACAAGTCCTCATCGACCCAACTCTCTTCCGTGCCTAGACACCTGATCTGTGCCTTCAAGTTTCCCATTGGTACTACAATATCTGTCGGATGTATTTTCTACAGAACAACACTTAACAGGTGGTAGGACTTATCTTTGATCGCATTCGGCTTGCAATATGTCGGAGTGTATGCAGAGATGACGAAAGCACATCATTTCTTATACTGATTTCTACTCACTTTGATGGAGCTTTCTAGTTTAACAGGACATAACCGACTGTCATTAGGAATCCAATCATTCAGTGCTGCCTCAGCTCTAGCGTTTAATGAAGCACCAACCCCAGCAAAACCAGACGAAGATACCACAGGGTCCCCAGATAAACTCACGTGAAGCAAGCTCTTCGAAGTGACAGATGGAAAGTGAACTTGCAGTACTTTAGTAGAGTCTTGAATAAGGGTCTCGGATAGACATCAGACGCCGATATTAAAACTTTCTAAAGACAGCCAACCCTATCTGTTGCCCGATCTCATTTAGTGTGCGAACGTTGAAGGAGACTGGTTTGAATTGCATACATGGTTTCAGAAAGACTGTTTCAGTATTCGTAGTCGGTGGTAGAACAGATTTCCACCACAGGCGAACTGTTGTATAAGTTGAAAAGTAAGAATACACAAAGTGAGAATAGAAGAGAATAGATAAGTGACGTAGTATATTAAAAAATGAAAATGAATGCTATCAAATGATTGTGAATGTAATTTGTCTGAATGCTAATTGAAGCAAGAATAATATTCCTAGTAGTGAGTTTCATTAATTTGATTTGTGTGTGGGTTGGAATAGTGTCTAGGTGCCCAGACCGAAACAGGTGGTTTTCTAAGGGTTCATATTCCATTTGTTCCCTTAAGATACTGGAGCCCGTGTGCATCATTGGTTTATAATCAGGGTTTTCCAACTCCTCTAGGTCAATCCACCATATCCGCCAACTCGGTTAGAGCGCCGGACATTCGCTTCTCGTCCTCGATTTCGTAGACGACACTATTATCACGAGAAGGCAGTGAGTAGGACTTCAGATTAAGCTTCCATATTGCCAATATTTGACCTCAAATCTTTGTTTTGAGATCAGGATATCAGTGCAACCAATTGTGCGTGTGATGAATTTTCTTCTTCATGACCAGAAACACACCAACACCCCTCCTGGAGATATTCTTTTCTGTCCATATTGCGTCCTATAAGTTTCACTTCAGCCATTGAGTGACAGGTTGTATTTCCTCGTTTCCACGGCTATTTGAACGAGGATTCCAGTCTGCCACATCGTCCTGACGTTCTATGCTCCTATGTTTATTGTTGACCTAGTTGTCAGAAGGGCTACTGATTTTGTGGCTTCCAAAGTCTCGGCTTTCACTACGAGGCGTCGTAACTCTTTTAGTTGCCCGGGATCTGACTCCAATTGCATCGTATAAATGTCATGGAAGTACACATATCGTCTATCCTCATATATAATCATCGACTTAATCCGCGTCAATGAATAAAGGAATTGAATAAGACAAATACGAAAATGAATTTAGAATATGTATATTTCATGCACTCATTGGTATGGGCAGGCAATCAGAGGGACGAAGCAAAGTAAGTGGAGAGAAGAGAGTGAAGCGAAGTGACGCACGGTAAAGATGGCGTGTGAGCCAATTCCATTTAAACAGGCGTTAATTAATATTTGTGGTCGTTATGACCTTCAATCGCTTTTACCCCGTTGGTACTTTGTGATGACTTGACCTTGATCTGTCTAGTCTAGATAATGCATCAGCATGGCCAAAATCAGAGGTAGATTCGTATTTGATAACGAAATCATAACCCAATAGCATCGTAGCCCATCGTTGGAGGCGGTTTGCGGTATAAACTGGTATACCTTTCTTAGATCCGAAAATTAATAATAGGGGTTTATGATCAGTGATTAAGGTAAATTTTCTGCCATGCAGCATCTTGTGAAACGTTTTTACTGCAAAAATTAATGCCAATCCTTCTTTCTCAATTTGACTGTACTTGCGTTCTGCCGAAGTCAATGTTCTGGAAGCATGTGCGATAGCCTTCTCTTTGCCATCTGGAAACTTATGGGATATGACGGCACCGATACCATAGTCAGAAGCATCTGCAGCAACAACGATTTCCGGCGAGTGATCAAAATATGTAAGAAGTAGATCCGATGTTAATAATGACTTTACTTCGTCAAAACATTTTTGACACTTAGTGGACAAATTCCATTTTACATTACTGGATAATAATTGGTTCATGGGTGCTCGGAGGCGATGCAATTGTGGCAAGAAATTACTGTAATAACTGATAAGACCAAGGAAGGAACACAGAGTTGCTACATTAGATGGAGGAGGCATATTTTGGATAGCTCGTACATTTTCCGGATCCGGGCGTCGTCCATTTTTGTCGAAAACAACAACAAGATATTTCACCGAGTTCATGAAAAATGTATACTTCTCTTCTTTTGGATAGAATCCACACTCAGATATTTTGGTTAAAACAGTATCGAGTCGATTGAATAACTCGGACTTACTGGAACCTTCAACGATTACATCATCCAAATAGACAGCGACTCCTGGCAAATTCGCCAACATAGTGTCCATTATTTGTTGAAAAATAGCTGGTACTGGTTTCACACCAAAAGGTAAAGGCCCCTGTGGGTGTTAATCGTCAGTAATGTTTGGGAGGCTGGATCGACTTCTATCTGAAGATATGCGTCAGCAAGGTCAATTTTAGCAAAATACTTTCCTCCATTTAGTTTGATGAATAAATCTTCCTGTATGGGAAGTGGATACGTGTGATCTTCTAGAGCATTATTCAGACCAGTGGAAAAGTCAGCACATGCGAACAGTTCCATTTGCTTTTCTCAAGACCAATATGGGGGCAGCCCACGAGGAATAATTTACTGGCTCGATGACACCTAGTGCTTCTAACCTGATAAGGATACTTTGGTGAATTTACAACAGCCCAGTTTGTTTTGAAATACACATGCATGTTTTTGTCAAAGATGGTTTATGTAAGATACGGACGACAATTGAGAGGAAACAGAAGACTTTGGTGTAGACATAACATTAGAATTAAGTACATGAGGTTCCGAAGTCTCACCGGCACATACTTTGTCTGAAGTATTAGATTTGGAATCATCGTGAGGACACATAACATTTGAAGTATTTGATTCAGAAAGATTATGAGAACATGTTTCATTAGCATTTAATTCGTGAATATCAAGAGAGGATGATTCATCGGAGGCATTCGATTTAGAAATATCATTAGGGATTTGGACAGACTCATAGGAAACATTATGAGAACATACCTCATCTAATAATTTATTCAAGGTATCAACATGCGCAATCCAATCTAATCCCAATAAATCTAAATCGTGTCGATTTGTGAGATAACAAACATCTGTAAATTTACTTCCCATGAGTTGAACGTTGCATAGAACCTCTCCTGTCAACTTCACTATGTCTCCTGAAGCATTTCGAGAGACATGTTCCGTCGGTCGGATGCGTGGGAATCCTAACTTGTGCCATGTATTCTTTGAGATCAACGTAACATCAGAGGCAGTGTCCAATTGAAGTCGTATAGGTTTTTCGTTTACTAACAAATTTACAAATTTCCGCCTACTTTTAAATCCAACTTTAAAGGTTGTAAACATTGTTTTAATTCGACTGTTTGATCGTTGCTTCGAATTTTCACTACGATGTTTAGTCTCGCGTTTATTTAACGAACAATGACCTTCTTTTTGGCCAATGCGATGACATTCGCGGCATTTATGATTCTTAAACGGACAGAATTTTGCAAAATGTCATGCTCCGCAGAACCAGCATGGTGATGGGGGGTTGGTAGGTTGTTTCATGCTTGTACTGTTTTGTTTCGATGATTTTATGGATCGGAGCGCATTAATTGAATCAGAATCGGAAGGTTTAACCCTCTGTTGCACCATCGCAGTGTCATGCTTGAGATTAAGTAACCGCTGACATTCAGTTGTGACCATTTGTAATGTCATATTCGATTCTTGTTCAATACGTGCCAACATCCTGGTACGGACATCTGAATCTTCTGCATTCTTTAGACCACATATAAAAATCAAGCACTTAAATTGGTCCGCTGTGATGTCGTTTATTTTGAAGCGTTCGCACTCTCGATTTACCTTCCACGCATACGTTAGGTAATCGTCCTCTGGAGATTTCGTTATTTGGAAACATTTATAACGAGTATTAAATAGTAAGGACTGTTCGTCGAAAATATCAGATAGAATCTGAACTGCGTCTTTGAATGATATATCTCGTGGATTTTGTGGTAAGATAAAATTCACATATTTATTGTATTCTTGTGTTCCAAGTTTTCTTAACAGTAAGCGTACTTTAGCTGCGTCGTCAAGATGTGAGCATTCGACGCGGAAAATGTCTTCACAACGGTGAAACCACGAACTGAAAATGACACCAGCTTCGGGATCAAAATGAAATTCAGAAATAGAATTTACGATGCTTTCATACTTAGCTGATTGACAAGTTGAGGACGAATGTAATGAGAGCATTCGCGCCAGTGCATCCAAAAGCTTCGTTTGATTTGCATCATTTTGTGCTTGCTGAATTTGAAGAATAGTTTTAAGGTCATCCAATGGTACAGACATTTCGCTCTGGATCAATCAATATAGAAAAGAAAAAAATCTCCGTCGCCAGTTGTTATGACCTTGAATCGCTTTTACCCCGTTGGTACTTTGTGATGACTTGACCTTGATTTGTCTAGTCTAGATTATAGCCTTGACGCGATAGGCTAAGCGGCTTAACCTCGAGTCTAGTACGCGTGAGTTCGAGATGGGGTAGAGAGACAACTATTCTAGAACCTGATTGGTTGGCAAGCACGCAAGTGATAGAAGACAAGACAGTTGGAACACTCTGAATTCGGATTAGTGCAAAAATGTACATGAATAAATAGGTGAATATCCTGACCACAATGTACGATAATTTGGAAAAATACAATTATGTCCGAAACTGGGAATTAGGGTAGAAAATAAGATGCAAAATATTATGTTTAAATTACAATATTTTCGGAACAAAAAAAAGGTATGGCAGTGAATGTTGCATAGAACGAAGGCTCATGTTATGTAGAATAAAATAGGGACAAAAATAAATTTAAGTGTTTTACAAGGTTTGAATGAAATGAAATAACGTCCCAAGAAAAAAGCTTTCGTAGTTGTCTGAGCTTCTTATTTCCCCGTTCACAACAATAGTCACACAAAAATAAGCAACAGACATGTGATAAGTGGGATAAGAAGGGCACACACATACACTTACATAAAAACAGTCAGGATTGATAAGCGAGTAATTAACAAGGTCAAAATATGAATCAAGAAGAACGGATAAGTTGGACTGTCCAGAAGCTATAATATGGGGTTAACACAGTAACTGACACTACACTCCCATAAACTTCCAGAGCAGAGTTTAACCGGTCTAATTAGTTGACGCTGATTAGGGATGCTAACCCTTCTCTCAAACCTCCTACTTTTACAAGGCCTAAATCTGTCAGTTGCTTTAGAGGAGCTCCAAGTGATATTACTTCAAAAGTCAATTTTATTAAAAAAGTAAAGAGAATGGTCACTTGCTGTTATGCCCCGATAAGCATAATGAATGGTAACTTTTGGGATCCATTTATGGACCAATACTATGCATATAATTTTATCGTATAATTCTCAAATAACTAAACTATTCATATTCATGTCCCTCTTATTATGAGCCTTATTTTGACCTATGAACTGTTATTATACAATTTACCATACTTGAATTATGCTCTGTCTATTAATCATTACTTTCACATTCACAGCCACATTTGGCCAAATTTTGTACAGATGTTATTTTCTGTTTTATGGAAGGATGTGGTCTGTCTGGTTGGTATATAAACCCAGTGTGTTTGAAATACATGATTCACATTGCAGAGGCTGAGATTAGTGTTCTGGACTTAACTGGATGGATTAGGCAGGAAGCCGCACGAATAAGAACTCTAAACTGCTTGCACGCGTTTTAGGCGTCATTGGTCCGAACCATTATTCACTGCTCTCTAATTGGCGGTGTCATTACGTTGTACATTAACAGGACACACAGGTAACAAGTTATAACAACTTACCTGCTCAAGGAATAGTATAGTTGTCAAAACTTGATTGCGCTCATCCAAACCACTGATTTGTTGTAAGCGTATACGTATCTTCACTGTTAACTTTTCGGATATGTTTTTCAACGGTCTTACAGATGGCTCATAATTGTTCATGATATATCTGTAAACTTGTTGTTCATGTGGAATCAAAACATTATTGTGATTAACAGGAATAGGTTGATCATTTTTATAGTTAGCTGAAACACAACAACATTTCAAATAATTAACAACTCGAATTTACTTGACATTTTACGGATCATTTGAAGAATCTGCAAAGCAAGCCTAATTAGCAGCAGAATTCAAATGAAGTGTTCATCATCTAGTTTTACGCATTAATTTTTCTGCATTTGAAACGAATTCAATTCAAAATTTACCGATTTCAGTGATTAGACGACAAGAAATGGCTGTACCCTGCAAACTCGAAACAATTAGAAGACTTTTCACAATCTGATATTCAGAACTAACTAACTGATCAAGAACTAGACTTACTCAAAATTTAATTTGGGAACTATTTAGTAGGAATACGAAGTGAGCTTCATATAAAACTAATCACCTTTATGAATAATTCACAAGTTTTGAATTCAGTTTGACTGTCATGTAAGCGGAATAGGTCAACTTCGGCCTGTTCGTGCTGTGTATAATTGATTCACGTGATCATTGATCGGGATAATTATACATGTGACGTGAATGTGTTATATCTAGAGCTTATGTTCAGCTATGGCAAGTTTGCGTAGCAATACTCTTACCTTTGTGGCACCATCAAATTTCTCTAGGTCGACGATTCTAGTAGAAAGTACACTCATTTATATAATGATTGTACACACACACTTTGATTAATAATTAGGATGAAATCACATACATAAAGAATACTTAGTTATAACAAATCACATGCGGAGCATAGTTCATGTCAATTGAATACAAGAATATCGTATATTAGACAGAATAAAAGATCATACCGGGAAAACAAAACAAATACTACATTGCACACATTGAAATCATGAGTCAGTTGGAGCTAGACCACCATGAAAAACCTGGAAGCACTGAACGGCCGTTTCGTCCTATTATGGGACTCCTCAGCAGTGCGCATCCACGATCCCGCACCCTTCTACATTGAGTTATCCTTGCATTGAATCAAAACGGAAATAATATTGAATAAAACTCATAATGAGTAAATCAATCGATTTTTGACTTTTCTTACCATCATATAAATATGAAGACAAGAGAAAGTAAACAGCTAAAACATTGCGCATATAACTTTCATAGTTCACTTATTCGGTGATCAACTTCATAAATAATTCGTTGAGTAGAGGGAACATCATGTTTTTGTAGTTATTATGGAGTACATAAATAAAACAAGTAATGGATATGAAAAAATCCATAAATTTTATCATCACTGAGTGATCTATTTCCAAGTTAGTCAACTTGAAATATTTGGTCTCTTATTTGAGTTACTTATGAAATTTTGCTAGAAGTAACTTACTATTGATAATTTGTGTTGATACTTGGACTGTAGATTTCAGTGTTCCTGAGTCATTATACATAAACTCACAGAAACTGGTTTCAGCTCAGGAAATTTAGGTTTTGTAGTTAGTGAGGTATCTAATATTCACTGATTAAGAATCTAATGTTGTAAACTTTTCACATATATTTATTTTGTAATACATCCCACCCAATTCCAAAGTTGAGCCTACTCTTCACAACCAACTTCACCATTTCATAGTTATATATAATATAGCCTTGTGGGCCAGAGCAATTTTACATTGGTTTTCAGAAGAACCAGACACCATCCAGGTTTAAATTTTATAAGCCGAGAAGTACAGCTCAAGCCCGTTTAGCAGAAGAACCAGACACCGTATAGGCTTCAACGCTACAATCTGAATAGTATGGCTCAAACCTGTGGCGCAACCATACAGGTACCAAGCACCCTAGTAGACCATTCGCACAATTCATATACACATTCACATCACATGTATAGTTATTCCGATCAATGATCACATGAATCAATTATGCACAGCACGAACAGGCCAAAGTTGACCTATTCCGCTTACACGACAGTCAAACTCAATAATGTTAGCAATCGCGAAATGCCTCACAATGTCCCAATGACAATGAACCTCGAGAACACTGAAAAGCAACCACCAGTATGAATAAAAATCGGTTATCCAGAAAACCAATTTTGTGCATGAACAGTCAGCAAAACATACCAAGGCAATGCCGAACCACCCACAATACCAATGGCGAACCTTCAGCTCTACATAGCCATATAGCTTATATTGCATACAACACATATGTAGGGTAGTAAGCGAAATAGCCCAGCCTGAAGCGATAGGGTTTAAATAACTCCCAAATCCCATTGTCTGGTATCGGAATACTATAACTAAACCAGTAAGATCATTTTTATCGCATTTGCGGAATTTTCATTTTTCCGACTTTTCAGACCCTGAGTTAGGTGTAGTATCCCTAACTTTAGCATATTTACTGCAATATAAGATCTATTGCTTCCGTTTGCTCCTGAAGTGTGACTTTGGAAACTCCATATTGGTTTCAAAAAAGCCAACAGATCAAGTTTGCTTTCTTAAAAAGAATGAACGTTCGATGGAACCATATTTTCAAATTCCATCGGAAACTTGGAAAGATTGTATGGCCGTTTCGCCCTAGTATGTGTCTAGCTAAAATCAATTTGTGATTACAACTGTGAAAATTCTACAATCTCCACAATTCCCCCTATAGTGATAGTAATTATGTGTTTTATACTGGCTGACAATTGTGAAGCGCATCTAATGGATTTATAGTTTGATTATAATCAAGTGATATAACTGACTAACCCATGTGATTGTAGCTTATACTTACCCATACTCGAATTCATCAATATTGATTCAAACCCCTACAAATATATGTTTTATTCAAGAGTTTTGGTGCAGCATCTATGGCAAAAGGACGAAACGGCCATCCAATGCTTCTAGGTTTTCCATGGTGGTCTAGCTTCAATCGACCCATGATCTCAACTGTTGAAAAGATTGACGACTGTTGAAGAGTTATTTGGAACTAAATAGCCAATAAGCACAAGTTGATGTTTATCCTTATAAGAACATCAGTTACTAATTACTAATAGGATTAGTTATAAGGTCATCTAAATCTGACTATTACATTCAAACCGTAAAGTATTCTTAGCCAAATTCTCAGGATTCTTGTTCAAGGTAAAATCATGTACACTCGAGTTGAAATTTAGACTTCATTATGTACATCAAAGTAATGAAAGACTGTGTGTAAATTTGCATTTCAAATGTACGTTTACAAATTCACTCCTGAGCTAGCTTGTTATTTATCCTCAATTTCTTAGTCCACTTTTCAACATTTTTCAGTTCATTTAAATGTTTCCTTTTTTTTTGGTTATTGTTTGCTAAACATATAACAGTAAGAGCACAGTAGAGACGAGCCGGTTAAAATTATGAATACCATTGGTAGGCACATTTCGTACAATGAACAGTGAAAATACTTCTTTCAATGGTTGAGAGCATGAGTTAATTGAAGCTAGACCACCATGGAAAACCTGGTATTACTGGAAGGCCGTTTCGTTCTATTGTGGAACTCTTTAGTAGTGCACCTCCACAATCTCGCCTCGCGAGATTTAAACCCAGGACCTATCAGTTTAAATTCAATTGACTCATGATCTCAACCATTGAGAATACTATAATATTTACAAAACCTCTTGTGAAAATACTTCTCGTTAGTACTGAAAGCACTTAAAATGATGACGAAAATCTATTTTTACCACCGTAGAAACAAAATCTTAGCAGTTTAAAAATTCCCATAGAATATTCAAAAATGAAGAATATTTGAGCGATCAATTGTTTTCAATAACTTCATCATCAGGCTCTACAGTTATAAGTCCATAATAATAATACTTTACAAAGGCCAAAATTAAGGCATAGCAGTGTCGAGTCATCTAGACTGGTGGCCACATTGCAACATGATCGATAGCATTCGATCTGCACTAATAAGGACTAGACACTCATAACATTGATCGCCACCCAGTGATCAATCAATTGTGATTAAGGCATGGCATTAATGAATTTGACAATGTTATGTGTTAAAAATGGTGCACGTTTACATCTGTTACGACATATGTATATACTTCAAAATGGTGTTATTCGCAAATTAGAAAGGTCATTCAATAAAGGTCAAGATGATTTGGAGTATAGCGTCCAGTCACAATAAGTAGAATAGTATTATTATAGCAAAAATGAAAATGCAAAAAAAAAATTTGTGTGAATAAAATGCATAGTAGGAGAATTTAATCTTGTCATTTGAGATAATAATAATAAGATTGTTGTGTGAATATACTATGTAATAAGGAGGGTGTTATCAAGGTAATTACAATAAACGAATTGGGAATGATGGATGTGAAGATTAAGATAGAGATAAACAAAAATAATGATAATAAGGGAAAAAAATTCAATAACCAATTTCTAAAACAACATCAATACATCACTGAGCATACCTATAATGCGCTCAAGCCTTCGGGAACACATACCCCATCGACTATATGGTCTATTTAAGATTCATAAACCTGATGTTCCTTTACGCCCGATACTGGATATGGCAAACTCACCATACCATTCAACAGCAAAATGGTTAGTTAAATTATTAGAACCATTACACCAAGAACTGGTCAAGCATAATGTTAAAGACGTCTTTGAATTTGTGGATACAATTAAAAATATGAATATAAATGGCAAAACCATGTTATCACTAGACATAACATCTTTGTTCACTAACATCCCTCTGACTGAAACTATCGATTACATATGTGAACAATTGCTAGAAAAGAAAATAGAGATACCGATCCCAGTAAGTAAAATGAAAGAACTGCTGAAATGCACTTTGAATATCTACTTTAAGTTTAACAATGAATTTTTCAGACAAGTAGATGGATCAGCAATGGGATCACCTCTAAGCCCGATCCTTGCTAATATTTTTCTGACCAAACTAGAAAATGGACCGCTTAAAGACATCCTAAGTAAGTTTGATTATTATTGTCGATACATTGATGACACACTAATCATATGTGATGAAAGTATCGACAAACAGGAGATGTTGGACTCTTTCAATAATGTCCACCCAGCCATTAAATTCACCAGCGAGGAGGAGAAAGACAATAGTATAGCTTTTCTGGATGTCCTACTTTCTAGAAGGA